CATTTTATTTTGGTATACCTTTTCTAGGTACGTTAGCCTGTGACCACGGAAATTGGCCGAGTCAAGTGATGGATTAGTACGGAGAGATTGAGACAGAAGGAGGTACTGGATAGAGAGACCGGGATGGTTTTTAATGTGAAGACAACAACAACAACAACAACAACTACTGTCTGTCTGGAAAGGAGGACACGATTCGCATGTACCTGCAGATTAACTCTCACCATCAATCAGTACGTTTACCTTCGCAGTTGGCGTCGTCTAGGACACGGGTTCAAATCTCCTTTGTGTACATTTGTCTCCTGACTTGGACATTTTCCCATGGACAAAAAGGCGTGTCAGTCCTGAGAGCACCTCTTGGATTCGATTCGACCAAGAATCTATGGAGTGAAACCTCTATCGGATTACCCGTCATGGCCCCGATGGATTTTTTCAGCTGTAGGGTCGAATTTGTTGGGTTGAGAATGATAATAAGGACCTGATTTAGCAGGAAATCTGTCCACTGACTTCTACTGGAATCGGTACACCTTCGCGTGAACCAGGTATACATTGTCGGAATGCTCTTGGCAGGAAGGTTCCAACGCCGCAATTTTCGGCGCGGTCGTTGCTTTTGGTATAGAGAATGCGAAGTTTCTTATAAAATCGGTCAGGGGGGGTGGTACGATATGCTACTTTACTACGGTACAAGTACTTGTGCGGGGTTCCGGGCAAGACAGCAGTATTCCTCTAAGATTGTTATCAAAGTTTGATAATTCAATAATCGAGCCCGAGCTTGTGCTGGTCTCTATTTGTTCACATCGTCCTCAGTACAGGTACACCTTCTGGGATCCCTTTACCGATTCAACTGACGCCTTCCGTGTTGGCAGACCGACTACATGTAGGGAAAACACAGTGGGGTCGCCTCTTGTGGGCGACCGTTTTTCTAAGGCAGAGCGAGCTTGTGGCCAGCGAGAACCTCACATCACAGTCTGGCTAGGGCCTGTACTCCCTCCGCGTTATTTTGTCAACTCTTCAGCGTTTCAAAAAATGAAATAGGCGAAGGTTGAACTCTCAAAACAGCTTATTAGACGGAGTAAGGCAAGTCGAACAAAATTTAGGCGAACCTCGGAGACGCGAAGCGAACCCCAGAGAAGCATGTTTATGCCAAAATTAAGGAAAATCGCAGTAGTGTAGGCGCAGCAGTAGCACAATAACACTGCGACCCCGTCCAAAATCCGTGAAATAGACCGGAAGGGTGGCTTTTTCTGTTTTTTTCCGTTTCCCGTGCTGCTGTGCGTGGCGGCGGGTCGTTGGTGGGGCTCAGTGGATACTTGGCGTGGGGGGTGACAAAACCAACGGCTGGCAATGGGTACCCGCCGCGGAAAGTAGGTGCAGGCCACTAAAAAAGGCGAAATTAGGCGCCCGCCGCAGAGAGTAGGCGCACCGGACGGCTTTTAGGCGAATTGCCTCCGTTTTTAGGCGGTTAACATATCGCGATTTTAAAGGAGCAAAATACACTATTAATATTGTACTTCGAAGTATACATTAATATTATACTCCGGAGAAGTTGGTTTTTGGTTTTTGGTTTTTGCTGTTTTTAGGGTGTTTGGTTTTTGGCAGTACAAACAAATCCAAATTAGGCTTTTTAGGCGAGCGCCTACGGAGTGCAGGCCAAAGTCTGGCGTGCTTGCTGCAGTCTCCATAAAGACAGTGTCGGCAGGTCAACTACATCTAGCAAAAAAAAAAAGGGTATTTCACGGAGCGGATCGGAGCGGAGCTGTGAAAGAAAAACCGTTCCGCTCCGTGATAATTTTGCCCTCGGATAAACCGCTCCTTGGAGCTCCGTGGGGCTTCCCAAAATTCCGTACAAGCGTTTTTTCCACGGAGCGGTTTGAGCTACTCCTTCACACGAGCACGGATAAAACCGCAATGCAGTCACGGGTAAAACCGCAAAAAAGTCACGGTTTTCCCACGGAGCATTTTTTCGTTTTTCCTTGTTTTCGATTATAGTTTTACAGCAGGAGGTGTTAAGTATTTGCGTTGACAGGATTCAACGAGAGGCAAGTGAGGAATCTTCTGCTGTTTTACGTGTTGCAGGAACATAGAAGTCGAGGAGGTTGTATCGATGCGGGGGCCCCTTTCTGAATAATTGATTAATCGACAGCTTTTGGTCTGTTTGGGCTGTCCTAGCGGCGAGGACGCATACATGCGGTGTCACCGACGGCCTCCAACCACAGCACACCGTGCGGAAAATCGGTTTCTGTGTACCAAACCGAACACTTTTCACGAAATTGCAGGTACTTCGCCAATTTTGTACTGATGTCCGTGCGGATTCGACGGGTTTTTCTGGCGGAAAACCGTCCTCAAGGCCACGGTTTCGCGCGGTTTATGCTACGGAGCAAAAACATCGCTCCGTGAAATAACCGCACGACGGACAAACCGCTCCGTTCCGCTCCGTGACATAAAAAAAAACGGTCCACTCCATGGGACTTTTGCCCTCGGATAAACCGCTCCGCACCGCGCCGTGACATTTTCAAATGAAAAAAAACGCTCCGCGGAGCGATTCTACTCAATGAGATACCCTCAGAACAAGTGGGATCGCCTCTTTTGGGCGCTCCCTTTCCGAAAGAACAGCGAGCCTGTGCCCAGCAAAGAACCTTACATCCCGGCACGGCTGGCGTGCTTGCTGCAGTCTCGATATTGACAGTGTTGGCAGGCCAGCTACCCACAGCAAAAAAACAAGTGGGATTGGGTGCTCGTTTTTCTAAGGCAGAGCGAGCTTTTGGCCAGCGAGAACCTCACATGCAGTATCCCGGCACAGTCTGGCGTACTTGCTGCAGTCTCGATATAGACAGCAGTACAGGTGTCAGGTGTCTCCATTGTAATATGCATCTGTCTTTACGATCAGGAAAAATAAAGTGAAACACAGACAGACTACGCGTTCCAGGTTCTCGTTCGAGATACTATACACCCACAGTCGAACAGGAAAAGGGAAGCAATACGTTCAACACAGCACGACGATAACAACGCAAGGACGAGAAAATGGACAATGGGATGAAGCGTACCCAAGGTACTTTAGCTGTTTCTGAAATTGCGGGACGACTCTGCTAACTGCGGCAGGGTATCTGTGTTTGTTGTATATTGATGACCGCCGCTTACCGTTGTATGTTGTGTCACAGCGATTGTTCGTTGCTCCAAGTTACATAAATTCCGACTTCTTTCAGATTTCACCACCAGATCGACGAGAACGCTCTGTCGCGCCGATACCTGCAGTTTACCACCGCTTGGTCAGAGAAGCGTCAACCAAGATTAGATCAGCGACGTGGAATCTTACTACTCGATTTATTGAATCCAGGTTCGATCGTGAAACTATCTCCATCGAGGCAGCCCAGCCTAAAGACGTAGTTGAGTTTCTCTGTTGGGTAGATTCCTGTGGAGCCCGGCGCCGCACTGTGGTTCATGCGCGTTACTGTTCCGCGGTGGGTACAAAGGATCATACCGCATGTTCAACTGAGCCGGGAGAGTGCAGTCTTCGATACGCCTATGACTCGCTCCGGTCTAATTTTGTGTCCAAATTAGCTATGGTGTTTGAGAAGGAGTTGGGGATCGTGGACCCATGGAGCAGTACATTACACGTTGGAAACCCGGTTCGAAGCGAGATGGTTACCCGATACATGGCATTTACTACGCAGGAGCAGAAATGGGCAGGAGTGCTGGTTAACCCCTTTAGGGCTAAATCGACTTTTGGGGCCATCTTTTAGCCCCATCTACATCTTACTTACATTTAGAATGCGAGCGATTCCAAGCTACATCTTTCGTGCGATTTTTTGTTANCGATTCCAAGTTACATCTTTCGTGCGAATTTTTGTTGAAATAACTCTCTGGCGTGATCTCGTGCCTTGCGAGACTGTGAGAGTGCGGCCAATGGTCATCCGACGAATGTTGTATGCTATGATGGGCCGCACGCCGCTGCGGAGCTTCAGGATGCAACACACACACACCGCCACTCGTGGTATGCTGGTGCGAACCCCGGTTGGCAAGACAGACACATGACATCTTGGGAACACGATGCACAAAAGCACGGCCGACAACCGCTGTATGCAGCCTCAACGCAGACTGGCGGTGGTCTCCCAGTTATCTCCCCCGAGGACACCACGAATTGCAAGGTGCTGGAGGTAGCAGGCGATGGTCATTGCCCTCTGCACAGCATCTACAGGCTGCTGCACCCCGAGCGAGATAGCGTCTTCGGTGCACTAGCAAGCGAGATAACACAGATCTGCGAAGATATCGCCCTGGAAATGATAGCAGCTGTTTTCTCTGAGGACTACAAGCAGCTAGTGGACAACACGGTGTCTGACGAGGAAATGCTGAGACTTGGCAAGCTCGCCTACGAGAGGGGTTTCTACCGAAAGCGCACCCCCTCCACCGGCCGAGCTGCAAGAGCTGTAAGACGCAAGCCACTGAAGACTGTGCGAGAGGTGGTGGCGGGCATCGAGGATCAACTGGAGCACGATTACTTGGCGGTAGGTCAGCTGGCGATAGTAGCTGCGGTGAAACGTTGCAATATCGTGGTCTGGGAAGCAAAACTGGAGGTGGGCTTCGAATCGTGGAAATAGGCGACACCACGGGCTGTTTCGTTGGCGATCTTTATCGGGATGAGTTTCTGCACCTGGTGTACCATGACTTCGGGGCTACAACGCAGCTACGTATGCTGCGGGTACGGCTAGAGAGCGCAACGCAAGCAGCAGCAACGTGGCGGAAACAAATTCAACCACTTTAGCGCCATCGTGATCCCACAAGAATCCGTCCCATGGGCAAAGCCGTACATGCTACAACGGGGATCCTCTGGTCGATCTGTGCTTGGGCACGAGAAGCCTCCAGACAATTTTTGCCCGTGCCCAACCACATCGGACAAGCGTCCGATGAAACATCAAGGCTCTCCCGTGCCGATCGACGTGGATGACGAGACCGAGACAAGCAGCAGCGTGCGATCGCGACGTTCTCTTGGAGGTGCCCGGCCCGTCAAAACGGCGTCACCCAGGGATGTACCGGAGCGGAAGGCGACGCCGCCTGGGAAAGCGGTGACGAAGCCCGCGGTACTTCCTTCCGCCAGCGGCATGTCGGCAACGACCAGGTCGAAGGAGAAGCCGATGCCGAAGGAGAAACCACTCGAGCTCTACAGCAGCAAAGCGGAAGATACTGCGGGGTCGGAGACGCTAGAGGGAGGTGGTGCCGGCGTAGCTCCCTCAAAAAAGCAGCGTGGAAAGCGGGGGCGCCGCAGCACTTGCACTGCAACATTCGCAAGCGGCCCTAAGCAAGGGGGGCCCTGTGGGGCCGAAGCGAAATCTCCCTGCGGTATGTTCTGTAATGAGCACAGCCGGCAGGGTAGTCGGAGCCGTACGTGCGGTAGGGGTGGAAAAGGGGGTGATGACGAAGCGGAGTACGAACAGGAGCTTGAGGGGGACGACGACATGAGTGACGGCGGTAGTGAGGGTGAGTTTCCGGGGGACGCAGTAGACTACGACCAGGATGTGTTCGTGAGTGGCAAGAGCCCTCAGCAGGTCAAGGCGATGGTGGACAAGATACAGGAGGCCTGGGGAAAGGAGGCCCTGGCTTTCATCTTTGGGTTGGTGCAAAACACCAAGCAACTCGTGCAAGACCGCAACGTAAGGATGGGCGCATTTCTTTTTCGGTGAACGCTAGCCGCTTTGAGCTGTCAAGTGTTGTCGTTTGTGTATTGCGGCAGCACGAGAGGCACAGTAGTACGACTTCGCGTGGTCAAATATTTATGTTTCATAGTCGTGGGCGTGTCGACAACAACTATACATGTCGCTGAGCGACGGGAGGGTGTGAGGGGTACTCCCGCAATTAATAATCGATAGTGCACCACGTTGTGTATGCCTGAGGCTGGAACGAAGGGACCTCTCTCTTTGCTTGTTGCTTCTCCCACTGCTGGAAAAGATCCGGTCCTTGTTTGTCGGATTTTGCGGCATCAGCAGAGTGTATGGTAGTGTTTTGGTGTGCGAAGAGCTTCTCCGTCTGTCTGTCTCTCCGTGCCCCCCCCCCCCC